CTATTTAAAATAATGAAAATTCTTTTATTCTGATTCTAAATATTTATTTAATTAAAGTAAAAAATAATTTAAATAGAGTAGTTGTCAAGGTATCTTCACTTAAAGTTTGAAAAAAACTTTGTTACAGCTTTTGTTTTGATAATTTAAGTTTGTTCTAAACTTTAAGCTAAGATATTTTGACAACTACCTATTTAAAATCAATAGAACTTTTTTATTTTGATTATATAGACATATAGAATCAGAATAAATAAAAATTCATTTATTTAAATAGGTAGTTTTGAAATATCTATGCTCAAAGCTTAGAAAAAAACTTAGATTAACTATTAAAACAATACTGCAACAAAGATTTTCTAAACTTTAAGCAAAGATATCTTGACAACCACCTATCTAAATTAATAAGTAGTTTTTCTTTATTTTACTTATACAGATGCAAAAAAATCTGAATAAAATTTTTTTATTAATTTTAAATAGATGGTTGTCTAGATATCTTTGCTCAAAGTTTAAAAAGACTTAAATAATTATTAAAACAAAAGCTGTGACAAGTTTTTTTCAAACTTTGAGTGAAGATATCTCAATGACTACCTATCTAAAATCAATTAATTTTTTTTATTTTAATTGTACAGACATGTAGAATCAGAATAAAAAAATTCTTAGCTGATTTTATATAGATGGTTGTTAAGATATCTTTGCTCAAAGTTTAGAAAACTTGGATAACAAAAGCTATGAAGTTTTTTTTTGAATTTTAAGCAAATATATCTCAGCTACCACCTATCTAAAATCAATAAATTTTTTTTATTATATAGATATAAAGAATTAGAATAAAAAAAATTTTATCAATTTTGATATGCAGTTGTTATGAAAAAGCTTGAATAACTATTAAAACAAAAAAGCTTTTTTTTGAACTTGAGTGAAGGTATTTCAACAGCTACCTATCTAAAATTAATTGAATTTTTTTATTTTAATTATATAGACATATAGAATCAGAATAAAAAAATTTTTATCAATTTTATATAGATGGTTGTCATGAAAAAATTAATTTAATTAATCAATTTTATTCAATCAGAATGTGCCTAATTAAGTAGAATCTCCTTTTAGCAACAAATTTTTTTGCCATAGCTAGAGTACTATATAAAATATGTATTAGTTCTAACAAAAGTCAGAATGGGCTTATCAATTTACTCTATATGTTATATTTTAGTATTTAGTACTTAAAATACTAACATATTCAGATATTTACAAAGACTTGAAATGTATCTAGCATATATTTTTTATTCAACTTTGATAGTGTTGGGTTCGGAAGTTTGCGACTCTGTCGCTCCAAAATTCTAAACCTCGCATAACGTACAATAAGTAACCTTTTCAAAAGAGGGTGTTAGATTTGGCTTGTGGGCGAGAAAGGCTTTCGGTTACTTTGGGTCAATGAATGCAAGTAGGGTCAGTTACATATTCAAGAGTTGAACAGTGACATTATTAGGGGTTCACAGGGTGTGTAACGATAATAGTGTTAGTGTTTATTAAGTACAATGTAGGGTATTGGAATTTTATTGTTTAATAAAGCAAATGAAGTGTACTGCTCCTAAAGGCCATTTCGGCCTTTATTTATAATATAAAATTCATCACTTACAAATGCAACTTCGTACTTATTATTACTTAAAGTTTACTAAATGTTATTTACAGTAATATATTTAATTTCTATGTCGTTGTCTAATTTATTTAAGGATGTGTAACTTATCCTTACATCATCCCATTATTCCTTATCTACCCCTCTGGATCCGATATACCTTTTCCGATCCTAAATGTAATTTATTGCATTTCATGCATTTTTCATGTGATTGGTCACAGTATTTGGTATCACCATCCTGTCATCACGGTAGTTATACATATAATTGAAGCTCCTAAATCGGCGAGTCTGGTGCTAATCAAAGGTTGGCTTTGTGTGATGATCAGATGTCTTGCGGTTTTGAACGATTTATCGTCTGTAGGTAAGTACTTCTTCTTCTCTTGAGTCTTTCCTTCAACTACTTTCTTTTACTAATTTCTTTCTTCTTTTCTTTATCATTCTAACCGGAATCTTACTACGTCGAATCGGTGTCAGGACTCCTTTCGATTTGGTCTTCGGGTTACGGGTCATGTAACTATGTCGAACGATCAATGGCGGAATTAGCTTATTCTTTAGGGCAGATGGGTTCTATTTAATGATGGTCACTGGAGTCTTATAAGACAATACTTGTACTTTTACTAGCATCGGGTAAGTAGTTTGTGCTTTGCAGTTTGTAGTTACTTTATTATTCGTTTATTAATTCTATCTAATCCTATCTAAAATCTGTTATCACAATAGTCTTCACTGTTTTATACCAACTAGAGATTCTTTAGTGTATGAAGATACTATTATTCATGATATAATATATATAATACATAAATATAAATTTTAATTCTCAGAGTGTCTTAAGTAAAAATTATAGAGACCTACCAATTAACACTTCATAGTATGTTTCTCTCTTACTTTTTTAACTACTTTATTTTTTTTTTTGGAATTTTTTTGCACTTCAAAAAAGAATCACACCTAGATAAAGTATTATTTATTAAAGAGCATTATCAAGTGTTTTGGCCAATAAGTTATAAATTGGTAAATAAATTTACTTAGTAAAAAATATTTTAAACAGAGTCAAGTAAGTTTATTATTGTAATAATAATCAGAATTTGATAAAGTTTATCATATTTTTAATAATAAAACCATATTAAAAGAATTTATTATTTAATTTACAAACTTTTTGCCACTAATCATTTGTTTTTTACATCTGGCTTAGCAAAATCTGTTATTAATTAAGTGTTTAGAAAGATTGCTAAGTAACTTCATTATAAATTCAAACATTTAGCATTTATGAATTATCTTATTTCTTATTGTTATACTAAAAGTTTTTACTAAAATAAAAATTATTGAAGATCCAAAAAGTAATTATAGATGCTTATCATCTTATAGGCTTTATTTATATGATGTTAAATTTAATTATTTTACTTATTACTATTAGCAGATTTTTTAGAATTATTGAATGATTTATGTTCATTTACTTTAACTTCTATTATTATCATAATAACTAGCACTATATCTCATCATTAGACTATTATTAGTAGACCTTTTATAATAACAAAATGTTTTATACATATTTATTTGTTTTAGCACCAATTCCATTTTATAATAATAACTAATAATATATGTTCTGCTAATGCTATTTGGTTTAGTATAATATAAGAATATTCTAAACTAGTATTAATCACTATTGTTTATTATTGATGTTTTTTTTATACCATTTATTATTCCAATATCTGCGAATTTGTTACAAATCCCATTTTTATCTTCAAATTAATCTAGAATTTCTAGAGCCTTGACCTCAGAAAAGCTGTTACTATCAAGTATAGTTTTAAGAATTTTTTTTATTTTCAGTAGTTTGCTAATATAAATGCTTTACAAAACCAAACACTTGTATTTTTTTTCATTTCTAATTCTTTTTTTTTTTTTTATCATTATCATTATTGATTATTGTTAACTGAATGCTTTTAAATTTGTACATAGTAATATTACAAGCATAATGATCTTTAAAATTTCTGGCTTTAGTTTTATAAATGTCTTGGCATAAAATAGTATTTAATCATGAAATACCAATACTATAACATGAAAACATTTTTTGAAACCTAGTTTTATTTATTTCCTTTATATATTTAAACAGATTATGATTTTCTGGCTCTATTGAAGAAAATGCATTAAACAACTCAGAGGATAATTTCTATAATTCTTTTTTATATAAATTAATTATATGATTCTTATTAACTATAATTGTATCTTCTATGTATTTTAATAGTAATAAAGATTAATGATCTCTTTTAGACTGCATAAAAGCAATTTGCTATTTAAGATATTCATTATCAATAGGTTTTTCCTTAATGTTTTGTTTAACAAAATTTACTCTAAATCATTCAAGAGCTTCATCAAATGCAAAATAATAACTAGGGCATATTAAGTTAATTGAACAAACATATTGAAGTAATTTTTTAAGTGATAAATCATCTTTAATATATGACAAAAAATAAGCAACAAATCTTATATAATTACTTTTTCTAGCTATAGAAAATAAGTGTAAAAATGCTGAAAGGTTTTTAAACTACATTTCAAAATTTTCTTTGGAATTTCAACTTTATAACCAATCCAGAATCCTGCCTATTTAAAATAATAATACCAAACCTTTAGCACATTATTATTACTATTTTTGATACTATTCATTTTTTTATTCTTACTAATTAAGTATCAATTAATTGCTATGCCAACAGCCATCTAAATTAACTCTAGAACTCTACAAGTTACCTGATAATCTACTACTTTCTCTAACTTATCTAAGTACTTAACACAAAGAGATGCAGCTAAGTTAAATATCCTATAGCCTAAAAAGATAGTTATCAATATGCTACATATATCTTTTAAGGTATGCCATTGTCCCAAAAGCAAACCTACTTTTTCATTAGCATCTTTGTATAGTATTAGTCAGCAAAATATTGCTTCATCACAAGCTACATATAAATGATTATTATTTTCTACTTTTACATTATTAAAATACATATTATATGCATTGTAAACATTTTTATTACAGTTTGAACTATCTCTGGATTAAAGGATTATAATATTAGGTGGTAAAACTTGACATCCTAGTTCTGTTTGTTGTGCAATTTTATGAAGAAGATTACTTGCACTCCAGTCTTCATGTTGAGTATGTAAAAAATTAAAGAAAATTTTTTCAAAGTTTACAAATAGATCATTAGTAAATATTGATGTACCAAAAATATTTTGAATTGCATTATTTTTGTTATTTTATTGGTATCAGTTTTAGAACTAAACAGTTTTAAAGCAAATTGAAATACCATCCTTAAGGTAGCATGAAATGTATTGCATATCATATCATAGATATTACTATATGCATATGTTTTCTCTAAAAGGTTAATATTATTTATTATTATAATATTTGAATATTTTTGTCTTTCCAAAGTTTATTCTCTGGATGCACTTCTTTGATTCTATTTTTTTCTAATTGTTGCTCATACTTCTGTATATATAATAAAATATTAGCTGCATACAAAATACTATATAAAGAAGATAGTAATTTAGGTTTGCAATAAAAAAAGCTCATAATGTGTATTAACTATACATTTGTACTAGGAAATGCAATATTTAAAATAATTGATATTAAAAAAAAATTGATATTTTAGCTACTTTGGTTATATTAAAAACCTTTTTTGCCAAATCTCTTTCTTTTCTTTTCTGAATTGCAGCTGCAAATTTTTTCTTTACTAATACAGTGATGAGTTCTTTAAAGAATCTTGACAAACAACTAGAAAATCCATTTTGGTAATCTTTTATAGAATCTGGTTCTTCAAGTTTTTTTTTATTCTCTTGCACCTTATGACATGATCTCAATACTGCAATTCTAAGTGCCTCTCTAACTTTGATAGATGTATCTGTAGTAAAGTCATAGTTTTTATCTTTTATCTTTATAATATTAACATGTTTCAATCATAATGCAGTCTTGATATATAATAGGCTTGTAGGATTATTAACAGGACATAGTTCAGTTTTATTAAGCATTACACTTAAGTGTGATAAAATTTTTTTTTATATTCTTGTACTGCACTTTCTGAGATGCTTAATATCCAATTTCCCATAAGTTTTGAGCTTCTGTAACATCATTATCATGCAGATTCTTACATGAAAAAGGTGGGTTATTTTCTTGTTTATTTCTTTTAAAAAAATGTTTTCCTTCTGAATTGAAGCAATCAGAGCATATAAAGTGTGGTTGGTATTTATCAGACTTGTTAGCATCAGTATTATTTTCAGATAATTCATTGCAAGAAAAAGCTGAACAGACTTTTAAACCAACACAAGGCACTTGGATATTATGATCACTAACCTGTATCAAATATTGTATGCATATATTTCTATAACTAAAAAAAGTCCTACACTTATTACAAAATAGACAGCAGTAATTATAAATTCAATTCTTTTTAATTAATTGCAACTTTTTAATATATGATTTGTAGAATTTTTGGTCAAATATAAAGTGAGCATAACAAATGTCTAATGAATATAATTTGTCTTCTTCTTTTACTTTTAGAAATATATCATGGTCTATTTCCTATGTTCTTATGAGTTGTACTAAAGGCCTTTGTTTATTTGTTTTATTAAAACAGTGTTGAATACAATCTTTAATTGTATCCAAAAGAACACAGGATATCAAATTTTGACTTTGTGAATTCTCTATCAAATATGTTGTTCTCTCTGCTGATTCTTCTGACTCTGGTTCTAATATTAGCATTAAATTTACATTATCACTATTATCATTAGTTTCTACATCAATGTCTTTCTACATAACTTCTTTATTTTTATTTATAACAGCCATTGTATATGCTTTTTCAAACCCAATTTCATCTAGAACAAACAGATGCATTTCTATTTTACAATTATTTGTGGTGCTTTCTGTTCCAAAATTTTCAGATGCCAGGCTTTTATTAAAAAACTTGTACCCTGTTATCTAATAAGTCATTATCTTTATCAGAGTTAACATATTTGTAATTTTTATCAATGAAGTTCAAAAAAAACTCTTTATGTAAATCTGAATTGGCAATCTTTTCTTTCATAAGATTAATGTTTGTCTTTAAGATTTTGTAACTTTGATTGAAGTTTCTTTTATCTTAAAGCACTTGTAGACCAAAATAAATCAGATAATAAATGAAAAAAAGAATATATGAATTCTTTTTATTTAAAAATCCAGTATATGTTGACTTATAATTTGGAAAGTTAGTGTCTAAGTAAATGCACTTTAGTTAACAGCTTTAAGAAAACTATAAGAATTTTTGTGAAGATTCTTCTAATTATAGACTATTCTTTTTTTTTATTAAAAAAAAAAAAAAACAGAAAATTGACAATCCCAAATTTCTCTCACTTAAAAACAAAGCATTACCTTAGCATTACTATTATCATTATTGTTATACATGTTTATACATAATTATATTATTGTTATAATACATAGAGACTATTGCTATATAAAGATTATTTGAATGGTTTGAACTTGTAATTTATTTATATCCTTTAAATATAAAGCACTCATCCATTAAAAATCACTATCACTTTTATTTAAACTGACATTTTTTTAGTTAAATTTATTTGATATCTTCGAATTAGAGTTCTGCAGTACCAGACATAGTACTATTAAAACATAATAATAGTACCTGTCTCTGTGTCTGGCACAATTCAAACATGATGCTGGTGTTGGTACTTACAGAACCTCTATTTAAATATTCTACAAGAATATTACATACTTAAGATAAAAAGTCAGTCAAAATATGCTTTAAACTTTTTTTTTTACAGATATTGATAGCATTTATTCTGAGTTCATTAATCAAAGTATCAATAAGTTAATTAATAAAATACTAATTAGATATTTAAACTATTCTAAACTTCAGATATTATTACCTACTATAAGAAATAAAAAGCATTAACAAATATCTACAGTCTGTTTTATAAATTTATCCATCTTCAAGATTCATATAATTTAGGTTAGAATATAGGTTCATGTTTAATACTCTACTATAAATTAATAATTATTAATAGAAGTCTTGGATATAATACAAAAGCAATAATAGTAATACAGTTATTTGAGCATTTTGGATGTTGTATATATATACTTAATACAGTATTTTAATTTTAATATAACATGATAGATTGGATTACTGACATTAATTTATTATCTATAGTTCAACAACTTGGATTAAAGTTTTTTTTACATTATGACAGTTATAGAAAATAATAAAGTGAATAATTGATGAAAGATGAACCTATATAATGTTTTTACTTAGTTCAATATGAGAGGTTAGTATATAGTTTATAGAGATACTGTTCAAATAACTTTTTTTATCTATGAAAAACAATAGAAAATTTGCATGATGATTATATAAATTGACAATTGCCTCACAGATTAATGTTAATACATAACTGTTAAACTATCTGTGATATAATTACATATATGATTTTTGCTTTATAATTTTAATCAAAGTTTCTTTTATAATAAAGTGACTGTAAAAAAATACAAAGCAAATATTTAATAAAAAACAGATATATATCACATTATTATATAGTCTAATGAAAGATTAAGATATAATTTATGGATATATTATCTAAATAGACATTAATTATCTAAGTAAAACCAATATAAATTCATAATGATGATCTTATAAATTAACAATTTTTATTGAATTAATGGACATAATTCTTGACTGATAATAATGTAAATGTTTGTTTAATTAATTAAATAAATATATATATATCTTCAAACTTACTTTTAAGATTGGATATTTTTTATTAATATCTATGTTTTCAATAATACGAAAATTTTTTGTTACAAGTATTACATTTCTATTCTCAAATTTGGATAAACTTAATTCTTGAATTGCATTTTTAGAATAAAACCCAATTAAGATAACATTGAGAGAAGAATTTAAATTTCAAGATCTTACAATACTCGAAGCTTCAATGATTGTAAGATCTTTATTAGTAAATAATTTATGATAATTTGATATATAATATAAAATAGTAATAGAGGCTGACATTTTTTTTAAAAAAAATCATGTGTATAAAAACTTGTTATTAAATTAATTAGTATATGTTATTTTATATATTTATTTTATTTAAATTTAATTATTAATAATAAAATTAATTTTAAAAAAATCATGCAATGATTTTAAATTACATGTATATTAAGAATACAATTTTTATTTATTTTTTTTAAAAATTATATATAATTAGTAACAAGATATATATTAGGAAGAATACAAATATGTATTAATTCTAATAAGTAAAAAAAATAAAAATCAGATGATCGATGCCTCTGGTTGAGTAACTTTCATAAATTAATCATATTAATTTTTTAGAATATGGTTCATGTTCTTAAACAGAATAAGTTATACCATTTTTTTCTATATATTTGAAAATAGTTGTCAAATTCTTTCACTATAGTCTTTCATTATGAACTTTGACAATTCATGATTATTAATTCATCTGTTCTGTAAAATTTCTAATGAAAAGAAAAAAAAAATTAGTGAAAACTCAAAATTGAATTAGTCATTCTAAGCAAAACATAAAAGAAATAGCTGTTTAAAGCTTTTTTAATAATAGTTTATTATTGTTTCAGTGTCTAATAAAAATTATTATATAAAATATTAATATCAATTGCAAGTTCACTTGCACTTGCACTTGCTTTATAAAAATAATAGATAAAAATTTTCTTTCTCAGATTACAAAGAAGTTCTAAATGTAGATCCAATTAAATTTAATCCATATATGGTAGAAAGTTGTTACAATTTAATTATATATAATAAAAAGTTGTTACAATCTAATTCATGCATAGTAAAAAACTGTTACAATCTATTCACAAATATTCATATCACATGATCATATATGGCAAATGAGACAAACAAAATTAAACTATTGCAAAAATGATGTTGGATTATAATTATAACATCTATTAGTGGACTGATCAAGTATTGTAAAATAATTTTTTATATGTTTCACACTGTGTGTAAAATCAATTGTGTAACATCAACTTTTTTTCTATGCTAAGCATGGTGAACATCTTTCATTTTAATAGTAATTGACACAATTTATTAAAAAATTTTTTTATTTTTTATACACTTTAAGTATTTTTTATTCTCATGATTTTTCAAAAACTTATCAATTAAATATATTTAAAAAAAAAGTACTGGAAAGAAAATCAAATGCTAATATTCTATTAAATTAATCAAAAATAATCACAGTATTTAAAAAGTTTTATTAAGAACAAAGTTTATAAGAGATCTAAGATAGTTAAACTTATAATTTAAATATATGAAGGCATTTCAGTATTAAAATAAAAAAGAAAACATGTAACTAAGATCTGGTACTTCATGAAAGAAGCACAAAAAGATCTCAAATAATATTTATACAAAAAACTAAGTAAAAGGTTAAGTTAACTACATTTAAACTCTTTAAAATATAAAAAACTATACTATACTGAATTATCATTTTTATTAAATTATATTTTACTAAAATTTAAATATTATCATTCTAAGGTATAATATAAACCAATTTGAAAGAATATGTCTTATTAATTGAATTAAGTAGAGATAATAAATTTGTAGAGAAAATGAAATTTTTAATAAATTAAATATAAGCGAAATTGGCGATTAGATTATTGATAATATTTCATAAACTCACGGTTGGAATTTAATAATTTTTATATCATTTGCTTCGTCTCAATGGGACAAATCGAATGACATAAAAATTATTAAATTCTAGTCACTAGATCGCGAGATATCTTCGATTTAGTAAAATAATAATTTTAAAGATTGTTATCGATTATAATAAATGTAATTGGTCAATTATCACGTGTAAGAAAATAACCAATAATTCAATTTCATGTGATTGACAATCCTAGATTCTTTTATTGGACGACTTGGCTCTGAGTCACAAATTTCAAATCTGGAAGGCTTGTGTAACGAGGATTGTCCACCATGCTTAACGCTGATCTTTTAATTTATCTAACACGGTCCGTAATG